GTGCTGTTTAAATTAATGTACGGTTCTACATGATATATACATTAAATGGGTTGAGTAGTTGATATCTATCTTTAATTACATAGAAGACTCCTAGATGACTGCAGAGACAAACGTAATGCCATAAACCATAAAAACTCATTCTTAGTCTTTTTTAAAGGTACAGTGTGTAATAATTACTGAGAGAAATTTTATATATTATCCATATGTTATTCATTATCATCTACGACCTCAAAGTGTACATCATTTATGTTTGCATGGCCTTAGAAAGTGCTTGTCATAAATTACATAAGGGTGGGTTTCCCATATGTGGATGCTGCAGTCTGGCCATTAAATGTAGCTGAAAATTACTGCACACTCTGTAGCTGTAATTGTAATTTATAATATAATTAATAATAAATTGTTGTATTGTTGTCAGTGTTCCAAAGTTTGTCAACTTCAAAATGTTAAAGTAGGAAGTTCTACATGATGTTTCATTGCTGCTACCCTTTAGTTTGGAGGAAAACTGCTTGTTCCAGAGGCGGGGAATTACCTCCCGTTGGGAAGAGTCAATCACGTGGTAGGGGTGGCCAATGATTGGCTATACCCCCCCGGCCCCCCTTTAGATAGGCCCCTGAGTTCTACTCTCAGCATCCTTTCAATTTCCACCCCTTTTAAAGATGATCTCTGTATAACGAAAGCTGCATTTCTGTCAATATTTATTTGAAAGTATCTAATTTGAAAAAGGATGATGGAAATTTTAAAGATTGAAATAGCTTCCTCAGTTTTCAAAAAAAATTATGTTCACTTAAGATGGCTTTTGGCTTTTAGCTCTAAATGTGAGATGGAGACACATTTGTAGAATAAGTTCTGTCATAGCGATAATGACTGATCAGCTCTTTTTGTTGTCTTTATTAATGCATATCTTTGCCCATGCTGAAAAAATCTGCATAAGTTCACTCTGTAAAATGTGAACAATAAGAACCTATAATCTATCAATTTTTATTTTATTTATCTTTTAAACCATCATAAAGATTTGTGTCACAGGGGAAAGGAAATGTGTTACTTTTTTATAGGCATACACAGCATTGCATCTATTTAACAAATGAGGTATTTCTTATTTTAAACCGATATCTACATTGTTACAATAATTAAAACTGGAAAAGGAATCATAATATTCAAAATTTGTTTGAGAGTAAAGTGCCAAACTCCTAAAAGAGGCCTAAGTTAAACCGCTGCCAGAAGTCCAACACTGGAATATTGTTTGTGCCTTCACTCCTAACAACTCGCGCTGTACATGCAGCTACTTCATGTTTGCACATCACAGAAATTGATGCTGAATGGTTGCTGTTGGCTTCATGCAGGGTGTGACTGCTGGCAAAGGCCTCTCCGTGGTGTAAAGTGGTTTTCTTAATTATGCTGGGTCAGAAACAGAGGTCATATTTTCGATATGAGAAAAAAAGCCCACTTAGGTCACACGCTAGTGTTCCAGCTGCCAGAAAGTGTGATCAAACAGTTCCTAATTAGAACCATATAATTTGGTGACATTATGATATTGAAGCTGGCAGCGTTGGTTTTTCCCAAGCAAAACTAACTTCATGAGTGGCTGACCATAATTTGGGGTTTTGTTGCATTCATGCAGAGGGGTTATGGTGCAGGAGGAGGGTGTGTATGTGTGTGCAGGGATGATAGGCGTTTTTTCCAGACACAGAGGTGTGTTGGAGCAGAAAAGGGTTGGTAACAAGTCAAGTATGCATTTGTTTGGCCCAGAAGCAAAACAGCCCCAGGATGAAAAGACAGAGTGTAGGTAGGAACCTCGACATGTCACGCAGAGGAGGCTTTTTGGCTTTCAGCTATCCTCTTGGAGGGGAAAAAAAAGGGGAAAAATAAAAGGTTCTGCATACATCATACAAGATGACTGCAATGGCTTCTGACAGTTGTCATGGAGATGACAGAAAAACAAACATGACAAAGACTCACATCTCTTTAGAACATTGATAGAAAACGACATAATTTGATTTCTTATTTCTTGCTATAACGTGTCAGCATTAAAAGCACAGTTTAAAACAGATGGTAGAGTAAAACTGGACTAACAGAATTTAAATAACAGAAACAAAGTTTAGCAAAAATATGAACTGAACATGAAGAAATTTCATATAAAAACGTAAATCCTGAGAAAAATATAACTGTCTATGTTATCTCAGTTAAATTAACAAACCTATTTGCAATCAACAGCACACACAACAGTTTATTGTAAAGATACTCAAACTGCAAGAACATTTTCACATTTTTCACATTTGAATTAAAACAACACCTGTCAGAGGCCATGGTTGGAGCTAAATGCAGGGTAAACCTGTTAGATGCTGCAAAAGATTTGAGACTCAGGAAGATAACGATCTCAAAGCATACATCTATAGTCCCAGTGTCAACAATGCTTTATATCAGAGCTAGAAAGGCCCAGACATAGAATCCAGACTTAAAATCAATTACGATCATCTTGCAAGACTTACAAAGTATATGTTCAATATAACTAAAAGTGAAGGGCTGATCTGTTTTAGTTTTGGTTTTGTTTTTTTGTTTGTTTTTTGAAAGATATATATATATATATAAAAAACATAAATAATTTCCTTCCATTTTACAATAATAAACATTTCAAGTTTGTCTATTTGATAAAATACCAATAAAAAAAAAACGTAATTAAAATTTTTAAATATAGCAGTCAATGGATGATTTCAATAAAATCACATTAAAAATAAAAAGTGTATAAGTGGTAAACCATGGCTTCACATAAAAGCTTTTAGGAGATTTGGGAACCTACTGTATTTGGGAATATTAAAACTTAGTGACTGTCACCTTTTGCTGTTGCCAGTCTTTCTCTAGAGGAAGCATCTTTAAGGTTTTTACTCCTCATGTAAAGGAGAAGTTTGCTTTGTTAAGAGAAGCACTGTAACCCTCTGTGCACAGGTCGATCATTCAGGTAAGCAGGAGAGATCCAAAGAAACAAGCTGGGAATCTCAGAGAGGCCCGGATTCCACCGAGGAGTTCATCCCAAGGGACTTCAAGTTGTCCTGCTCTGATCCAGTGACATTCTCCTGCTACAATGACTTTTCATTAACCCCTTATCAAAATGTTTTTCTCTCCCACACTCCATTGACATGCACACAATTCCCTGTCTCCCCGCACAGAGGATCCTGTTCCAGCTGTTCCCCCTTGTGGCCACATTTGGTAAAAGTGATTTTAAACCACATTTAATTCCCAATAATCTTAAGCGTTAAAAATACTTTAATTTTTAAAGAGTTTCTTTCTTTTTTTTTTTTTTTTTACAATTATTAGGAATAGGAGATACACCTAGGTCCACAATAAAGACATTTGTTGGCATATTTTTTAGAGTTTTTCATTATAAAAATTTGACATAGGCGCTCATACCCAACAGTGACAAAGATTACCCAATAATTCAGTTTTATATCACACTTCAAGAGACAAACATTGTAAAACTTTTTTACATTCAGAATAAATCAGCTAAACCAATTAATGACCTTAACACAAAATGTTCTGCATCCTCCACAGCAGTCTGAATACCGGTACATGTTTTAATAAATGCTTTTCAGCATGTTTCAATGCATCATCTTAGGCTCTGCACCTCTTGAATCCATAACAACATATATTTGCATTATTCAAGGGTAATTACTTTCTAAATAAAGCATGGAATAGTTAATGATGGCCCATGTGGCAGAGGGGGGATTCCTCAGAATTTATGAACCAACAAGAGGTTACTCCCCCAGTACTGTTGATTTATTTGAAAAAGTGACCAAGTTAGTTTGTTTTAGAATTTTGGTATAATCTATCCATTGAGACCACGTATCACAACTGTTAAAATACATGTGTAGTAATTGTCTGGATCCAGCTGTTAGTGATTCCACAATTACAAAACCAAGCAGTAGCTGCAATAATGAGTTATTGTATTTGCAATATCTTAAGCCCATTTGTGCATCTATATCTGTTATTTTTATATAACTTTAAATACTCTGCTGAAATGAAAAGATGCACTTATTAAAGATCTTATAACCCAGACTGTATACAGTTTAACTGATGCAAAACGTTAATCGCAATAAATATTACTAAAGTTGGTCCATTTCACTAGTACAATTTCAAAAGATGTAGTCAAATAATTACGAAGGCTTAAAATGAACAATTTGTCAAAAAATAAGTTTTAGATTATCAAGTAACAGAAAAAAAGATTTTAAAGCAGCAATGTGATGTTATTGTCCAAGCAGGGTATGATACAAAGTCTCAGTGAAGAAAGTCAACTGCAAGCAGTTCTTTATGAAAGCATAAAAGTTTGGTGCAAGAAAATGTAGGAGAAAAAAGTATGTATGGGCAAAAATAATTTGCAAGTGTGGGATGGGGCTAGACTCAGAGCTTTAACCTAACAAACATATCAAGGGCATGCACAAAATCCTCTATTAGACCATTCCTTAACCAGAGACATCAGTAAAAGCATCTCGCCAGGGCAAAAAGAAAATACAATAAAACAGTTTAGACTGTTTAAAAAAAAACTTTAATTGCATTCAAAAAGATGTTCCCAGAGTCTCAATTCTGTGCCAATCAAATTGTACAGAAAGGCGACAATTCCAGGAATCCATGACTTAGCTCTACTTTATTTATGCTCAAGTACAAAATTCCTATAGTTTGCAAGCAAACTGGCCAAACCCCCATTGAAGATATTAACCTAGGTAAAACCACAGGCTGGTCATTTTCATGCCACTTCTTTTCCCACTTTATGACAAATCTCTTCCTCTTTTGTGAAATACTGTCACTTATGGGCCTTGATTGGTGCCTCTGATAAAATACAGTGGTTGTATTTTGCCCTTTTGCTAGTTTACGATGCTCTTGTATTTGTTTTAGAAATCAGAGTCATAATAAATTCTTGGAAACAACTAAAACAGCAAAAAAAATATTTAAAGTCCACAGAAGGGTAAATAAACTATGTTATCTAGTTATTAGAAGGTCAGATTTTTTTATTTATTTTTTTTTTTTTTTACACAGGTCAATTTTCATTCTATATCCAGAAAAAAAAAATAGTTTTCTCCCCAACTATATACCAAGTTGCCTTTAGAGCCAACATTTATTTCATACGATTCCCTGTAAATCATTTATTTCAAAAAGCAGCAAAGTAATTAAAAAACAGTTTAATTATCAAAATCATATTTCATACAATTCCCTGTAAAGATGATAAAAAGACAATGGAAGAGCATTAAAATAAACCAGTTCCCCTTATTTTCAATCAACATGTAACATGGAAACAGGTGTTTAGGAACACAATTTATTCATTTACAGACTTGTTTTTCTGAGCCGTTTACCACCTGACCCCACCATATGACATTGAAAATAAAACAAAAAAAGACCAGTATACTTCATTGCACTGGGTCAGCTGCTATTCCATAACCAAAGACAAGTAATGGAATACAACAGGAAAAAAGATATATTGAATTGGTAAAAGAGAACCTGATTTTTTTTCTAGAAATACAAACAAACTTGCAGTTATTTATGTTCCTCTTCAAAAATTGATCTTAAGCACGCAGCATCTAAGTTTAATTGAGGTCCTGCGGAGAAAAGACATTTCAGTGAGCTCAGAATTCTTCCTCTGCGTTTCTGCTCCTGGAAGCCTTCAGCTGTTTGAGACGCTCGATGCACTCCTCCACACTTCGCTCGCCATGGACTTTGTTGTCTCGGGTGCGTACGTTTACAGTGTTGCTGCTCTTCTCTTTCTCTCCCACCACTTTTCAAACAAAAGTGTAATGTAAACACAACAAAAAGAAAATCAGTACTTAGAAGAAATAAAACAAAACAGCCTAGCTAGAATGAAGGCAGGCTGTCACTGACCCAGGATGAAGTTGTACTGTGCCAACTGTGCGTTGCGGATCTTCTTGTTCAGAGTGCAGCCGGGGTCAAGATCCACGTCTGTCATGAAGCCGCTGTTGTGGAACTCCTTCCTTACCTAAAGAGTTAACCAAAGCAGGACAAAACCTATTTTTAACGTTTATTCATGGTACATGAAAAAGTCTAAATAAATGTTATTAAACTTAGTGGTTGTGGTGATGATACAACTCTGCATCAGTAGCTCATGCTACTTTAAACCCTGCAAAAGGCCTTCCTTGACCTGAACTACATCCAAACCGCAACATTTCTTAGCAACCTGTGTCAAAATGTAGCATAAACCATGAGACAACTACAATATCTGGTTTGAGAGTTTATAATATGGATGCATTTTTAAAAATATGAAACTTTTTGCTGGAAATTAAAAAAAAAGGAAGTAGGGTAAAGCATGTATGGTGTGTGACGGCAATTATTTCACCAGCTCTGTGTACCAATCCTTTGCTTTCACCTGACACAATGTATTCCATTTTACAACAAATTCTTAATTTAAAAGATCAGAAAATCAGAGCTGTGTTTAGAGGAACAGAAGTGAGATTGAAGCTCAAAATCTTTTAATAGCATTCGTTTTAAAGTAGCGCAGAGTCGGCCCTGACAGGAACCTAAAGCTTAGTGCACAAATCCATTTAATTGACTGTTGCTGCAGAATTCATATGCAAGTTCAGAGAAAGTTTTTGCAAACTGTGCAGAACAGTTATTATTCCGTGGGGGAAAGGGTTTTAGCTGAAATGCTGTCATTTAAGCAGAGATAAGCAGAAGGTGTTTCTCTGCCAAGAGCGAGAGGCATTATTTTAAAGTGCATTCTAGCACAAATAAATCTTTATAAAACAGACTGTTGTAGCTGAAGATGGAAAAATGGATAAACTGTTTACACCCAGCAAAGACTTCAGTTTTATGAATTGTTTCTCTGAATTACGTATTTAGTGTCACTGCAATCCTTTAGATCAAGGCTCAGCGAGTCATGATCCCTTCTGTCTTTCCTCCAAACTCTTCTTTCCTTCCTTCCTTCCTTTCTCAATCATTTCTTTTAATAAACCCTTTTAGCAGTCAACCTTTCCCCTCTAAAAATCAGCTGTTTCTTTCCGTTTCTTAAAGCAACTTTCGCCTAAAAAAAAAAAAAAATCTTCCATCAACCCTCAGTTACTCCCTCCTTTAAACTGAGTCTTCCTTCTTTAATCCAATCAAGTCTTCCCTCTTTCAGTTATTCTAATCAATAATTCTGTTAATGAATGCTAACTCCTAAAACTAGTCTTTCCTTTCAGTTTTCCAAACAATTCCTTTCGCTTCCATCCATCCAAGACTCTTCTTAACTTCATTTTATTCATCCTTTCTTCAATCCACCTACTAATCCAGCACTATAATGTAGTGAGAAAGGGTGATTATTATTCTAAGCTCCCAATCCTATCATTACTTTTAGACTCCCGTATAGTTCTTTGATACTGGCACCCTGGGATCTCGGCTATAAACAAGAAGCAACCAATAATAAGATAGAAAAGACAAATGGCTTCAGGTTGGTTGTAAATTACGACACTTGTCAACATCAGGGTATCTTATGGCCCCTGAAATGTGTCACTGTGTTATATAGAGAGTGCCTACTTTCTCAGCATACTCTTCACAGGTTGGTCCCACAGGCACAACCATCACTTGACTGGGAGAAAGCCACAGCGGCCTGAAAAAGAGGAGAACATGTCTGCGATTTATTCGACTTTATTTGACTACTGGAACAGCAAACAGAATGTAAGCTTCTGAAAATGTCTCCAGCTGAATAACGGGATACATTTCTATTCTTTCATATTTTTCAGTAACTAGCTGTCACAAATGGAAACAAGTGGATGCCATCCTCTTTTAGGGTGTTTCTTATTCCTTAATCAACCCAGGGAACTATAATTGCTTACAAACCATTTGCCTCCATAGTTCTCAGTCAGAATAGCGATCATTCTCTCCACTGATCCCAGAATGGCTCTGTGAATAATCACCGGTCTCTTGTGGTCATCACCATCATGACTGCAGAATAAGAGAGAATACAAAAATACAAATTTATCTAAGGCTCTAAAGAAGCGCATTCAATGTGGCCAACAAGGCCACATTGATACTGTTAAAATATAATATGCTGCATCCAGTAAGCCACTTCTAGGTTGGGACATTGTACATAAACACAAAGGATAATGTGTGTTAGTAATAGTAATATTTATATCATTTCTAGCAAAAAAAAAGAAGAAAAATGGCATCAAATTATTCTTGAACGGAACAATATGTGGACCCATTCTAATCGGTGATATAGTCCAATGTAATAATGTTTGTACAATGTTAATGAGGGATAGAAGTTTATACATCCCATCTTTAAAAGCCTTTTTTGTGCAAAGATCAAAGTTTTTTAGAATTATTGGGGATCTAGAGTGTATTTTCGATGCTAGTTGAGAGTGTTTTTCCCCTCATTTTTATAAAGATGAGAGTCATCATAAGCAGTTCATGCATGTGGAGATGTGACTTTTTCGATTTTTATTACACCAATACAGAAATGCTTTCTTCAGCCACAACTCAGTCCGCAAACCTCGACATCTCAGAGTCTCCGCTCCACTCACCACTGCACACTCTCTGCAAAATGCTCCCAGAAGTTCTTAGCAGCAACTGACATCAATGGTGGCCCCCTACAGTTCCGTTAACCTTGCCTATGAAATGTACTCTGATAGCTCTAGGCTGAAAGCTATAAAAAATATGCTGACCTGACGTCCCTCATTTCCAGGGAGAAATCAGCATGAAAGCGTCACTGATTTTAGTGTTTTAAAAAAAGGCTGCGAGTTACCCAGCTGTCAAATTTATTTATCGTGTAAATGAAATAGAAGAGGAGCTCGTGAGCTTGTTGTCATTCCAGTGGAGCGCTGTCCTGTGATATAGTGTGTGTGTAAATCTGTTTATATAGCCTGAACTGGGTTGATCATTGCTGTGATTAAGGCAAAAAAAACAATGATTCCAAATGATCTGTGATCTTTATCGTATATTCCAGAGCTAGTTATTAGTCATAAAGGTCAGGGATCATTTATCGTTTTTATTTGTAAACAGACTTTCAGGGCTTGTAAAAGTTTGTTTAGTCAGTTTGGAGAAATTATATTTAGTCATAAAACAATAAATGATGTACATAGATGAAAACCAAATTGTGCCAAAACTGAGAACAATGAGAGATAATCACCTGGTTAAATGTGCATTTACTTTTTTTTTTTAACTAGCTTTCAGCTCCAAGTGACATAGATGAGCTTCATTTTGCTGCTTGTTTGAAAATGAATGGGTGTGTGTGTGGTTGGCTATTGGTTATCACATGGTGGGGACCATTTTTAGTGGGACAGTGGCGTCGGATGTAGGAGTTTGCCCCGAAATCGAAGGATTGACGGTTCAGTGTCGTTGTGTCCTTGGGCAAGACACTTCACTGTCTACTGATGGTGGTCAGAGGGCCCGGTGGCGCCAGTGTACGGCAGCCCCGCTTCTGTCAGTGAGCCCCAGGGCAGCTGAGGCTACAATGTAGCTTGCCACCATCAGTGTGTGAGTGTGTGCATGAATGACTGAATGTAGTGTAAAACGCTTTGGTCAAGTCTGCTGACTTGAAGAAGCGCTATATAAGTACAGCCGATTTACCATTTTCCATAAATCTTAGCACATCGTGGGGTCTGATTGCTCTACTGGGGACCAATGTCTGGTAACCATGGATACAAATGCTGTTTTAGGGTTAGGTGTTAGGCTTAGGACTAATGTGTGAATAGTTATAAGGTTAGGATCAGGGTTATGTATGAACCTGTAATGGTTAGGGTCACAGGCTACAGAAATGGGTTAGAAATTAAGTCAATTGAAAGTCCCCATAAGGACAGTGAAATGCGCTTGTGTGTGTTTTGCATTCCCTCGCTGATATTTACAGGGGCTGTACTTTGCATGAAGATGGAGAATACACATATGTTTTTACTCAAGTTATCTAAAACTACCAAAACAAATATGAAATGACAACAATATGAATAAAAAAATGAATGAATATGATAACAGCTAGAACAGAATGGCTGCCAAAACATCACTGGTTAGCCAAGCATTATAGAAAATAGTGACTTTGGAAGCATCTTCAACAAACACATACTGTTCTCGAAGGATAAAAGCTATTATGGGCTGATTCCAGTATCCTTAAAAAGAAATGATAGAGTTTAAGTTTGAAGTGGCAGATTTAGACTTTAGCAAAACAGCAAGATACCAAAATGGAGCCAGACTGTGGAGGCAGGTAGATATTAGGTTAATGGCAAAGAGGCTTTTAAACCGAAACGCCTGTATCGCATTAACTTTTAGTTCCCAGCAGAAACAAACCTTTAGGTTAAGCTTTAAATATAAAAGGGTAAACTGAATTAAGGTTTCTGGTGAAGGTTGTCAGCTCATAACAGGAGATCTTAATAGGTTAACATTGTGTTTTAGTAGGATACTTATAAAAGGAACAACAAAAATGTATACAGTTTAGTAAAATGCTTTTGCAAGAGAAAATATGTTTTTAATCTTTCCATCTTGTAATAAAAAGCAGCAGAACTATTACCCCACGAAGGAGAGGTTAAAGCGTATGGGCAGCTGGAAATCAAGCTGTATGGTTGCACACTGGTGGTATCGACCGATAGCATCCTTGATCTGAATGTCAATCTGAAGACATAAAAAACACACGTGATCAGCGGCCCTCCACTGGGCAGATTTACAGCTGAACTAAAATCAATGCTTCTGCACTATGCTCACCTTGGGTCCGTAAAAAGCGCCGTCACCAGGGTTGAGAACCCATTTCTCCCCAAACTCATTCAAGCTGTTCTCCAGTTGCTACAAAGACAAATGATTAATATAGCTTTACAACCATATTGATGTTGAGCAATATAGAGGTAAACAGAGTTGTCAAGCAAAGCAAGGGTCGTCTGGAACACATCACTGAGCTGAGAAATGTTAGTGCCTCCACATAATGTTACGGTTGCTTCTGAGTTTATACTGTTTTCCATCTTTGCGGCTGCAAACCTTAAACAAGTGAGGCAAGAGTTTAAAAACACAAAAAAATGAATCAATAGATTAAGAGGGCAACAGTTTAAATACAGTAGTTTAAAATACCATAAATTCTGACAACTTTAATCATTGCAGCAAAACAATAATCAAAAGATTAGTGCACTAACACTCCTCTATGTAAAACTAGTTTTTTCTTGTTGATGTATTACAAGTGCATCTCAAATTGGAAAATCATTTTAAAGGGCAGGTTAAAAGTCAGAAGATTTTACAGCTTAAACAACCACAGGAAAGACTGCTGACTGGAGGGCTGTCCAGCAGACGGTATTTATGCCATAAATCGGGAGGGTAAGCCACAGAAGCTCATAGCTAAAGAGGCCGGCTGTTTGCACAGGGCTGTATCCAACAATATTAATGAAAAGTCCAACAGAAAATAAAAGGGTAGCAGAAAAAGGTGCATAAGTAAAAAGGATAACCGCAGCCTTAAGAGGATTGTGAAACAAAGCCCTTTCAAGTGTGTGAAGATTTACAAGGTGTGCGTCTGGGCGCTATAAAAGCTGCACATACAGCCACCTCCAGAACAGGGCCTGAAACTGTAGCGTTTATTGTTATCCATCAGTTAGCTGTAGCATACGGTCCAAATGGATCCATGCTGCAAGCAGGAAATCTATGAATTTTAATATTTGAACTGGAATTGTGAAAAAAAATATTACTTCTAGATATAGAAGTAATAGAGAAAGTTATTTATTGAAACTAGGGCTGAAACAATTAATCGTGATTAATCGATTCTTGTAATAATTGTCAACTAATTTAGCATTCGATTAATCGTTAAATTGAGTGTAGAGACTGAAACATTCCTTTAGCTGACAAAGTGGCCCTCCTAGAGCAGTAATTATGCTAAAATAAAAATATATGTAAACATTGTGCATGTAAGATGAAAAAAAAACAAAAAAAAACTTTTTCGTCTGTCAATATGCTCTATACAAAACTCAAGTGGAAAAGTTTTGGGTTCACCTGTTTTAATTTCGTAAAAAGTCCTCTTTAAATCAACCTTTTGCTATCCGATTATTGATCTAAAAAATTATTGACAGACTAATTGATATGCGAAATAATTGGTAGTTGCAGCCCTAATTGAAAACAATTATTAGTAAAGTTTTTCGTACAGCTGAAATGGTAGGTAAGACGACTGGACTGAAGCTTAGCAGTCGGCAAAAATTTTATTTCTAAAATGAATTAGATGAAGGAAAACTTTAAAAATAATTTTAGAGTAAGGTAAATAATTTTTAGTAAACCCTCACAAAAACAAACAATCTTATGTCGGTCACTAACCCTAACGCAAGTGCACCTAAAACAGAGTTTGTTATATCAGCTGTCATTTAATAGAGGTCCTACAAAAATCTCTCAAACTTTATACAAGTCCAAGGAATTATCTGACCAGTGATAATTATTTAGTTTTAGTTACTATTGTTCCATGTTTTTATTTTGATTTAGATTTTTTTTTGCTTCTGTAAGGCAGCACTAAATAACTAAAACAAAAAAAGTGGAAAACTTTGAGTTAAACCTCTGGAAAAGAAAAAGATGTTAATCCGATAGAAATAAAGGCTGTTCAAAGAAAAAAGAAAATCTCTTAAAACTTTAATTTTCTCTAGATTCATCAAATCTTGCTCTACAGTTCATTCTGCCAATGCAATACCTTCTGACAGCATCTTAGTGTTGTTATTTTTTGACACACAGAAACAGATTGTACCTTTTCTGCCTGGTTCCAGATCTCCGGCTCTCCTAGAAACTTCTCTGGTCTGGTAGAAAGGTTGAGTTTGAAAGTGAAGCCGAACACCTCATAGACCGTACGCAGGAAGTCCAGGCAGCCCTTAATCTCGTCTTCAATCTAGGTCCAAAACAACAGAAACATTAAGTTAATTAAACTTTAGTTTTATAAATTTCATAATATCTCTTTAACCTTGATCTTATTCCCTACTATGCTATTAATATTTAATGAGCTTTATGTCTCTGCCTTTTTGCCATTATGCCCAAAGTAGGGCGTAACAATATTTTGCAAATATAAAACAGAAACACCCTATGTCACATGCACAAAGCAAAAGGCTACTTTAACTTTACTTAAAGCCAGTTATTTAAATACCAGAGATTCAGTCTGTAACTTATTTGGTGACACAACAAGCAATGTAATTGTTAGTTCCAGCCCCGACACTGTATGTTATCACATACTTTACAGATCTCAAGTAGACCTGGAAGAAAGATTTCAAAAACCAGTTTCAGAGCAAAATCTAAAGAGGTCAGGTATTTATAATAATAAACTGATATATGTTGTTTTCAGCTTTAGTTTTCCAGCCATAATGCTGCAGATGGGGTGATCTAGTAAACGAAATCTTTTAGCATCCCCAGGTATTGTTTGACATTAAAACCATGTCAATAAATAACACTGTTATCAGGAGATCTGTTAGCATGAATGCTAGGATCAAGAAAATTATTTCAGTGGTTAAACTTTCTCCATCTACCATGGTCCACTAAAAAGACTTAAAAAAAAAAAGATAACTGATAAGAATCAAAATTTTTTGGGATTATAACGAAAAATATCTGCATTTTTACAAGATAATCGAATTCCTGTTACTTTGTTTATTTTTGTTTTTAATTGGAATTACATTTTTTCAGTTTTGCTTTGCAATACAAAAAAGTGAAACTGAAACAACTCCGATATTACACCGAGCGTATTAAAGAGCTGTATGATCTTCTGTCAGCACTTGCAGGTAAATACACAATCAGGAGCAAAGTGGCTGCATGTTGTAGCTAGCATCTCCCCATCTGAATCCACTAATAAACTAATTAACCTCAATTTTCCAAACCTCTGGTTTGTTTAATTAATACTGGTAGTAAATCAGGGCAAAGAGGTTTCCTTGAAAACTACTAATCACAAAAAAGAAGGATTTGGAATTTTTATATGAAAATATGACATCGCTAATAACATGCCCACTGGGCCAGAAAGACTGTTGTACTGAAAGCCTTGACATCTTTTCCATAAACACCTCTTATTATTTTTTCCAGGGTGTCTCTTTTTATTGCCTTGCCCATATAATTTGACCCAAAAAATGTAAAATGCAGCAGTGAATATATTCCTTATTAAATATCTTGCACATTTATTATCAATACTGCAGGAAGGGACACTGGTGTTTTTTTCCTTTCCCTGACCAGCATAAAAACCTTTTTTCTTTGTTTTTTTTATTTATTTCTTTACTTGTACTCCTTAACCCCAGCGCCTCATGACACATCATTGAACAAATTATTAAACACAAACTTCCAGAAATTGGTATTTTTGAAAAAGGAGCCCTCACCTGGTCAATGGAGCAGAAGATATGTGCATCGTCCTGCTGGAAGCGGCGGACACGTGTGAGGCCAGTCAGGGCTCCAGACAGCTCGTTTCTGTGCAGGACGCCAAAGTCGGCCATGCGGAGGGGCAGCTCTCTCCAGGAGCGAGGGCGGTGATCAAACATCAGACTGGTTCCAGGCAGAGGGGAGAAACACAAATAAACACAAGTGCGAAAACAAAGCTGATTCAATCTAAAGTTATAACAACGCTATTAAATTGCTTTACTGAAGTGTGAAAGAATAAATTCAAAAACTGAAAGAAAAAAAAAAAATGGCAACTTCATTTTGGATGGCAATGTTATTTCCAAAGAACAGATAACAGACTAGAGGAGAACAAAAACATAAATGATTTTAAAACAAAGAAATACAGATTGTCACTTTTATACCTTTTTTTACCTTGGGATGTAGAATTCATCGAGAAACAGAACTGGGACATTTTTCATCTGTAAACACTTCAATTCTTAAGCCAATCTAATTCAAGCAGTGAAAGCTGAAAATCTACTGCAGTGAGGAAACATGAAACTCTGTTCATAGACAGTCGGTTACAACAGGAAGCAGAGCTGAACACAGCAAAGCTTAACATTCTGCATGATGAAGGGGCTTCATTCCATACAAGAGGAAAACAAGCTCATCTGTCAAATTTACAGGGTGCTACAATTTCTGTTCGTTCTTCTCTGACTGCAAAGAAAAAAGCAAAGTGAAACCGTCGCTCATTAGAAAAACCAAGTGTCTCACCAGTGGCCCGGACAGTTCATTGGTTTGAGCGCAAAGGTTTCCTTCTCAGCTTCAAAGGAGAACATGTTCTCGCTGTAGTGCTGCCAGTGGCCTGAAGTCACCCACAGTTTGCTGTTGTAGATATTGGGCGTCACCACTTCTTGGAATCCTCTCTTCCTGTATTCACTCTGGAAGACAAACCGATGAGTTCTTTACTAAATGTATGTACCTTTAAAGTAGGTTTTGTTAACACATCTGTGCGAATCTCCAACCACCTGAACAGATGAACATCAGGGCAGAAATGTTGGGAAAGTATTCATATAAATGTATACTTTATCATAGTACCATTGCAGGAAATCTTTGGAATACATATAATAACAGCTTTCTAAATTTGGAAATTCGAGCTGACATCTCCTAAAAAAAAAAAAAAAAAAAACTAAAAATAGCTGTTGGAAATGAGACATTTTGTGTTAATGAGTTTTTCTCCTGGTGCATGTTGGACAAACGCAGGGCTGCTTTCTGTCACCAGTCCTGTTCATCGTCTTCATGAATTGCAGCCAAAGGCTAGAAGGGGTCCTATGTTCTGAGATGGTTTAGCTCTGCTTGTTATGGATGATGTGGTTTAACAGGCTCCCTCCTACCCAGACCTACACAATCTGCTGGGGTGGTTCGCAGTCAAGCGCAAAGCGGCTGGGATGATCAGATCCAACAAAAATGAGTTCAAGATTCTGGTCCGAAATAAAAATGGCTTATCCTCTCCAGGTCAGAGGAGAGTTCCTGCCTCATTTGGCAGAGTTCAAGTATATTAGACATAGACAGATTTTATTTGTAATTTTGTTTACACAAGTGTAAAACAAAAAGAAATTTCGTTTGGAACAGCTCTCTGGACAATTTCATCTTTGTTAAAAGTGCAGCCTTGAAAAATATTATAAAAAAAAAAAAAAGAATACAGGAGAGGAACAGATCGTTGCAGCTGCCACTACACTGCTGTGGGAGGAACTGAGCCAGAAGGCAAAGCTTTCATTTTAGAGGTTGTTCTACGTTCCTGTTGTCACCTATGGTCATAAAGTCTGGTTCATGACAGAGGTGTCTCAGGCACGCCCCACTGGGAGGAGGCCCAGGGGACGGCCCAGAATATGTTGAGGGGACCAAGTCTCTCGCTGGCCCTAGAACACCTTGGGCTTGGCCCAGAGGAGGTGATCAATGTGTCTGGAAAAGTCTGGGTATCTCTGCTGAGTGCCGAATCTGCAAACCAGTTTTAGATGAGAAGGAGACAAGTCAAAAAAGAAGAAGAAGAAGAATATGCATGGCAACATTAAAATAGCACTCCAAAGACCGAGATTAAAGGTAAAGTTTAAAATAAGGAAGCTGATTTTATGGTGAGGGATGCCAACATCTGTTAAAAAAGATAAAACATCCCTGTTTCATATCACATTTATTTACATATTGTAATCAAAATAAGAATCCTTGAAATAAAAGTTGTTTTGGTTTTGTTCTTTTAATCTGATCTTCCTGACACACGCGGGGAAAGCTATACTTACTCATGTTTAAATGTTAATACATCTTAGCTTGTCTTGTTTACCGTTTTTCTAATAATTGTTGTTTGGTTTATAATTCAAAACGCAGCTATGAAAATGCCTTCACAATAGAATCTAGAGCAAATGATATGATATTTTCCACATTTAAAGTATTTGAGTGACTGCTTACTCGATTTGAAAGAGGTGCTTTTTTAGCTTGCACAGACATGGCTTCTTTTTAAAACCCAATTTCACTTCCCCAAATGTCCTCAGTTAGAAATCCATTTTGCTACGTTAAAGCAAAATTGCTTCCAATGTGTTTTTTTGTACGAGTGCACACTCTAAAAAACACTATTTGAAAAGCAATTTCTCACCCTTTATAACAAAATGAAATAGCTTTTCTTCCGTGTTGTCAAATATGTCAACATTTACATGTTTTACTTTATTTCACAAGTGTTAGTTCACTTCTGAGGCCATGGCATTTGACAGACAAGGTTTAGTGTGATTTAGAGCCATCTGAAAAGGCAGGAATGAGGGTTTTAACTTTAAATGAAATGGTTTAAGCA